GTATATCTTAGCTAGAATAAAGAGGCTGTGCTGTGCCGAGAATGAACCAGTAAAGGAAGGGAATACATTTGTAATTTGGAGCTGGAGGTGCATAGTCAGACGCTTTGCATGACTGGCAGAAGAGTGCTTAGTAGAAGAGTGCTTATGTGGTCATCTGTGAAATGAATGTTGACATTGTGAATAAAACATCTCTGATTTCGATTGTGTGACAGGGCCCCAGGGGTCTGGGTAATATGTTTGTCGCTATGTTAATCATATGCTATCATCTAATAGTATTGCAGAACTATTATTTCATGACCTGCTTACAGACCTTTAGAAATTTACCTATTCAGCAGTATACTCAGGAGTTCGAGCCTTGAGATGGATCTGATGTTTAATTTGGTCATATTGTTTATAGGCTATAGTGACAATTGCAGATGAAGATGGGAACTACCTACAGGAAGCTTGGGAGCATATTTTGACATGTGTTTCCCGGTTTGAACATCTACATCTCTTGGGAGAGGGTGCTCCTCCTGATGCAACATTCTTTGCTTTTCCTCAGAATGAGTCAGAAAAGTCAAAACAAGCTAAGTCAACTATCCTTCCTGTTTTAAAAAAGAAGGGGCCAGGAAGGATGCAGTATGCAGCTTCTGCTGTGTTGAGAGGTTCATATGATAGTGCTGGTATTGGTGGGAATGCTTCTGGGATGGTCACATCCGAACAGATGAACAATTTGGTTTCTAATTTAAACATGTTAGAACAAGTTGGTGAAATGAGTCGCATATTCACACGGAGTCAAAAGCTAAACAGTGAGGCGATTATAGATTTTGTCAAGGCTCTTTGCAAGGTTTCTATGGAAGAATTGCGCTCAGCATCTGATCCTCGTGTTTTCAGCCTTACAAAGATTGTTGAGATTGCGTATGGATCACCCTTCAAATCTTATTTATTTGCTTTCTGTTACAAAATTGTAGAGTTTGACATCAATTGTTTTCTTATAACAGGCATTATAACATGAACCGCATCAGGCTTGTATGGTCTAGCATCTGGCATGTGCTCTCCAATTTCTTTGTGACAATTGGTTGTTCTGAAAACCTGTCTATTGCAATTTTTGCTATGGATTCTCTACGCCAGTTGTCAATGAAATTCTTGGACCGAGAAGAGTTGGCTAATTACAATTTTCAGAATGAGTTTATGAAACCTTTTGTCATTGTTATGCGTAAAAGTAGTGCGGTGGAAATACGTGAATTAATCATCAGATGTGTCTCACAAATGGTTTTATCTCGGGTCAACAATGTTAAATCTGGATGGAAGAGCATGTTCATGGTACTGGAATATGTCCTATCTTTTCTTTTTGGGGATATAGTTTATTCTACAGGGGATAATTATTAATTTGATTCATGAATTATTATTCTTGCATACTGTTAATACTTGTTACTATTTGATTCTTTTCAGGTCTTCACTACTGCAGCTTATGATGACCACAAAAACATTGTACTCTTGGCCTTTGAAATAATTGAGAAGATTATTCGAGACTACTTTCCATACATTACCGAGACTGAAACCACTACTTTTACAGATTGCGTGAATTGCCTAATTGCATTCACCAATAGTAGATTCAACAAAGACATTAGCCTCAATGCTATTGCTTTTCTTCGGTTCTGTGCTACAAAACTTGCAGATGGAGGTCTTGGTTCCTCATCAAGAAATAAGGACAAGGAAGCTTTTGGAAAAATCTCTCCATCTTCACCTCAAGCAGGGAAAGATGGAAAACAAGAAAATGGCGAAATGCCAGATAAGGATGACCATCTCTATTTCTGGTTCCCTCTACTGGCTGGTAAGGATACAGAGCATAAATTGGTAGTTATAAGTGTAATGTTGCAAAGCATTTTGGTTATGTTGTTAAGCTTTTTAAAAACTACATTGGGAAAGATTTTATTAATTTTTGGTCTCTCTGCAGGTTTGTCCGAGCTTAGCTTTGACCCTAGGCCTGAAATCAGGAAGAGTGCCTTACAAGTGCTGTTTGAAACTTTACGTAACCATGGTCACCTTTTCTCACTACCTTTGTGGGAAAGGGTTTTTGATTCAGTGCTATTTCCAATATTTGACTATGTGCGACATGCTATTGATCCTTCTGGGGAAGGTTCACCAGGACAAGGGATTGATGGTGATATCAGCGATCTTGATCAAGATGCCTGGCTCTATGAGACATGCACATTGGCACTACAATTAGTAGTTGATCTTTTTGTCAAATTTTATAACACTGTTAATCCTCTTTTGAAGAAAGTTTTGGTGCTTCTAGTCAGTTTTATTAGACGACCTCACCAAAGCTTAGCTGGTATAGGTATTGCTGCATTTGTGCGATTGATGAGCAATGCAGGGGATCTCTTTTCAGATGAAAAGTGGCTAGAAGTGGTTTCATCATTAAAAGAAGCAGCCAATTCAACGCTCCCTGATTTTTCTTTCATTTTAAGCGGAGATGGCATCATTGGAAACCATGAACCTGCTTTGAGTAGAGAAGATAATGGAGGGTCCACTGTGTCTGGTAGGCCTGATGATGATTCAGAGAGACTGAGGACAAATTACCTTTATGCTGGCATATCTGACGTTAAGTGCCGAGCTGCTGTTCAACTTTTATTGATTCAGGTAACTACTACAATTATTAAGCACCTTCCTTTTACAAATATATGACTTCATCAAACTTCTTGTGTATTTATGCTGTTTTTCTTATGCTTCTTAAAGCCAAGTCACATTGATTATGTGCAGCTGTTGGTTATGTTTGAGTTGGTCTGAACTCTAGTCTCTTTCCATTAGTTGAACTTGATTTTCTGTGGACATACTTCAGAAAATTATGTCATTTGAATTATAGACAGCAAGTTTTTTTTTTAAATAACAAACAATAGGAACCATGCATACATCCACCGACACTTCTTGAGGATTGATCCCACCGACACTTGTATCAAAAGGGAGAAGGTGCATCTAGGTGAAGTACGATTATCAAATGTAACCAATACAATTTAAGGGGTTGGTTCTGTTAATTCTGATTTGTCAATCGAAAGTACAAAGAAAACGCTCTATTAGTGTGTACTAGTATATACATGAATTAAATTGCATCTTTCTAATATTTACATGTTATCATGTCAATACTGTTTCCTGAAGTTTGCATGTTCTCATTAAATCTGGCAGGCAGTGATGGAGATCTACACCATGTATCGATCTCACCTTTCAGCGAAAAACACGCTAGTCCTCTTTGATGCTTTGCATGATGTGGCAACTCATGCTCACAAGATTAACACTGATACCACTTTACGGGCGAGGCTACAAGAATTTGGCTCCATGACCCAAATGCAAGACCCTCCACTGTTGCGTATTGAGAACGAATCTTACCAAATATGCCTCACATTCTTGCAGAATCTTGTAGAGGATAGGCCTCCAGGTTATGATGAGGAGGAGGTTGAGTCCTACATCGTGCACCTTTGCAGGGAGGTTTTACGGTTCTATATTGAAGCTGCCAGCTCTGGAAAGATATCTGAATCATCTAGTGGGCAGCACCATTGGCTAATTCCTCTAGGTTCTGGGAGACGGAGAGAACTTGCTCAACGCGCCCCACTTATTGTGGCAACTCTCCAGACTATCTGTAGTTTGGGAGATACCTCATTTGAAAACAACTTGTCTGAATTCTTCCCCCTACTTTCAAGCTTGATAAGTTGTGAACACGGGTCAAATGAGGTCCAGATTGCCCTCAGTGACATGCTGCGCTCATCGGTGGGGCCTGTGTTGCTTCGATCGTGTTGAGCAGGTGAGACAGGACCATGAATTTGAGATGTATGATAATTTGATGCCAGTCGTGTAGTCTTCAGTTTCTTTTTTCTTTTTCTTCGTTATCGGAAATATAGTTTGATAGTGTATGAAGAGTTAGCGCAATGTTTCGGATTTGGTTGGCCAGTGCTTCTAAACCTTCTGTAGTCTATCCGAGAAGTACAGCTCCATTTAGAATTTAAACATCTCTTCAGGAGTTTTGATGTTGTATGCTAGTCATATATTTTTTCGTTTTTGAACAAAATGAAATTGAGAACAACTATTTTTTCTGAAAATGAAAATTGCCCTTATTATACATTCAAGAAAGCCCGTTCCCTTTCTCTTTCACAATGTTGGAAAGAGATCCAAAGTTCGATTCCTCATTTCCCCAAACCAAAAAAAAAGAAAGGAACTGTCTTTTCTGCTTTGGATATAATTATTTTATGATATGAGAACTTGTCTCTAAACATGAGATCTTTTGGTGACCGGCTGTGAAAACATTACTTAAATTATCTTTGATTATAGATTTTGTATATGGAGATAACTTTGATTAGGCGCGTTTTAGTAGACTTTCATAACAAGTTGGGGAGGGAAGATGTTCAAGTGGTTTTAGTAAGATCATCTAATACAGCAACCTTTACTAAAGTAAATACATGAACGTACTGATTAGCCACAAAACAAGAACCAAGTCAAATAATTAGATCTCAATTTGCGGAGACCACAAGGGCCAAGCCGAGGACTAAAATAGAAAGCAGTGAGAGTGATGTGTGATATCTATGCCGGCTTCTCTAGAATCATAGCTCAGCTGGCATCCACCCAGAAAGACCTAATCAAACCCCAAAAGCTTCAAAAGACTTGGTCCGATTCCCCATAGGCTATAGATGCATACAATCTCTCTCTCTCTCTCTCTCTCTCTCTCTCTCTCTCTCTTAAACATGTCATATACATAGATGAGGATCTAAGAAAGAGCCAAAGTCTCGGTCTTGCAGGGCTTTCTACTCAAAAAGAGCCATGCAAAAATCAACTCACTGCTGCTCTGCTTAACATCACTGATCTTTTTTTTTTTCCCCTTTCTGCAAAGCCTATAACTCTCTATCATTATGAGTTGTATCAGAATTTGCTTGGCCTCATCTCTGCGGAGGATAACCAGTGGGTGCAAGAAAACCAGAAAGCAAAGGAAACTTTCTTCGAGCTTTGATGTGCCTGCAACCTCATCTTTTGCGGCCATGGAAGTCTCTAACCAATTCAAGCAAGTGTTTGAGGTCATGGATTCAAATGGGGATGGGAAAATTTCCCCTCTTGAGCTCAGTGAAGTGCTCTCATGCCTTGGATACAAGAAGTCCATTGCCACAAAGGAAGCTGAAGGAATTGTGAGAGAAATGGATTGCAATGGAGATGGTTTTATAGACTTGGAAGAGTTCATGAATGCTGTGAATATTGATAGGTCAAGGAAAAATAATAAGAATAAGAATAAGAGTAGTGGGTGTGGAAATGAGGAAGAAGACTCTGAGCTCATGGATGCTTTTCTTATTTTTGACACTGATAAGAGTGGGAAAATTTCAGCCAAGGAGTTGCAGAGGGTTTTGGTCAGCCTTGGATGCCAAAGATGCAGTCTTAGAGAGTGCAGACAGATGATCAAAGGGGTTGATAAGAATGGAGATGGAGCAGTGGATTTTGAAGAATTTAGGTTGATGATGACAAGAAATTATGTGAGTTGAAGATCAATAGGATTAAGTCAGATCAAGTCAGGCTAGCCGCAGGAAAGAAGAGGAGTTCAATCATTTCCAGGATCAATTTTAGAATGCATATATTTAGTTTGTGTAAAGAGTTGAATCTTTTTCCAAAGAAAAAGAGTTGATTGTGTAACCAGATATGCTTTAAATTTTGGCAGATTATTATGTCTAAAAAGTTTATATAAGAAGACAGAATTAATATACCCCTCCCCCACCACAATGCCCTCTCACTTTCTCCCCCTTTAACTGCACTCACTAATAGTCTCTCTCTCTCTCTCTCTCTCTCTCTCTCTCTCTCTCTCTCATATGTTCGACCCAATTTCTGTCCATATCATGGGTCCTCTCTATCTTTTGTTCAATCATTTCTAGGGTTTTAGAAAGCATATTGGCTGGGCTGCTTCTTATCTTGTGTGATGTGTCAAGAAAAAAACAAAACAATGCTAGATGGCAGTCTTCCTGAATTGATAGGACCATAGAATATACGGTTTTTTCTTAGCTTCATTAATCACCATGTTCACAGCTTCTTTGTTTGGACTTGCGCCAACCAATGACGAAAAAACTCATTGAACCAAAGTCATAATATATTTTTTGAATCCTTATCCAAAGATCCTAGAATATACAATTTAACAGTTAAAAACCCACTCTTCAACTTTCAAGGTCATTTGACAAATTTTTTTTTAACAAACAAAAACCTTACCAAGAATATCGTCGAGGGATTTTTCCACCATACAAATTAAAGTGTAATTTATGTAAAATACCTTCAAAAAAATGACATAGCCAAATACAAGAATTCGTACAAGCATGTCCATATTTTATGAGGGTATTGGTGTAGACTTCCCAAAGTTTGAACAAGTGTATTCAAAAGAAAGATTCAAAGGTTCAAAGATATATGCTTAAGTTCAAAAAGTGCTTTGAATTAGTTGTATCTCTCAAGTGCAAGAATGTTAATTAAAAGTTGGAAAGCTCTATGAACTCTTTAGATTTTGTCGTCTTGTATATCCTTTTCTTGTTTCACGCGTAATTCTAAACCCTGTTACAACCTTAGTGAAAGTCATACTTGATCTAAGGAGAAGTGTTGTTCATAATGTCATGTGGAGAACAGGTGTGGAAAGGACTATGGTCGAATGATTTAATATTATTTTCATAGTATGCGATGAGGATCTTTCTTTTTTTTTTTTTTTTTTTTTTTCGAAGGGTTTCATTCCATTCAACTGTAAATAGTGTGTACAAAAGGGCATGTTAAGGTGACCTCGTTAAAACCTTCCCGAGTGCCTTTATTTAGATTATGAGAGTACATCATATTGCTTTGATTCTTCTCACATATATATGAGTGACAATACCTAGTCAAATTTCAAGTATTTTTTATTGGAGTGAACATCCTTGGTGAGATTTGAAGTAAGCGTGTTTTTATTTGGTTATTTAACTTTTGTGAAGCTTAAATCGTAGGTTGTATTAATGTTGACTATTTCACACGCTACACTCCAAGTTGTTCAATTAAAGTTTGGTTAACCATTTGATAATATCTTGAGTTATTGTTGCTTATTTCTTGGAAGTTAGCTAACGGTTGGTGATTATCTTTGAAATCAATAATACTGGAAAGTTATTGCTTGTTTGTGGTGAGTCTTTTTCTTATATTTTGTTTTGCTTAAGGACGAGCAAAATCTAAGTTATGGGTATTTTATATAAGCATTATTTCTTCTATTTTTATACCCTTATATTGGTTTATTTAGGGAAAGTTGATTAAAAAGAGACTTATTACTTTACTTTCCTTATTTTTAGCTTTTCTGTGCTCTTAAAAAGTGTTTGACGGAAAATCTACATTTTGGAGGAATTTTAGCGCAAGGCCAATTTAAGAAGAAAGCTAAGACATTGAAGATCATTGTATGGGTTTTTTTAGAATTTTTCATGGAGCCAATTGTTCCAAAATTTCATCCAAAGTTGAAAGCCTCTCAAAACTGCGCTGCTGTGGGAGATTGGAGATTTAAAGACTATCCCAATTTTTCCAAGTGACATGGGATATATGCCTGGAAATCCTCTTTCAAGTTCATACACAATGGATAGAGGTGTTTCTTTTCTGTCACCCGATGGATAGAGGTTCATATGCAAGAATTGAAACAGTAAATGAACGGTTGGCCCATGTGTTCTATTCTATGCACTAACTCAATTTACAAGAATTCTATAGTGAAGGGCTTAGCCTTTAAATAAGGTCCTATCTCTTAATCGCATAATCATATTGATTAGTCTGGTCAAATGATTAAGAAATTAAACCTCATCCAAAAGTCATAGGTAAGACCCTCACTATAAAATGATTCCACTAATTTAATTCATGCCTATTTTATTTGGGCCAATTTGACTTGGCAAAAATATCGAGGAAATACAGCGCACTAGGCCATTCATGAAGCCTGTACACATGGGCCAATTTTGATCTGAAACACATGTTGTAACTTGTAAGGTTGGTCCAGGGCTTTTTTGTTTTTGGACGACCAGGGTTAATCTTATTGATGCATTTCGTTCGAGCTGAGAACTTGAACTTCAGCAAACTCCTAGATAGTTTGATGAAGAAATAAAAGCTAGCAATTCTTTTGTGTCAAAACCTCTGGGCATTTTTCATGTCCATTAACCTCAAGAATTGGCACTTCTTGGGAGTTCTAGAAATTTTTTGTCGGATTTGGACTGTTTTGTAGATGGACATGACCATTTATGTCTATATCTTTCATCACGTGATGACATACACATAAATGCTTTAATATATGTTTTTCTATCCCCATCTAGTATACCAACGGGAAGTGAAAATCCAATCTTTTTCTTTTATTCTTCTCTCAAAACCGATTAGAACTTTTTAACTGATAAAAGTAAGCAAATATAATAATGCACAGAACCCTAATTGCAGCTCTGGGGATACTTAAATACACAAATAATAAACTTACAGGCATCAACTGCCTGTTTATTTAAATATAATCACAATTTGATGGCTGTTATCTTCAGAGTTCAGGCAAACTCTTCTTTTTAGTACAGTCGACATGTAACCCACAATCCCAACATAAATATAATTGTTGCAGTTATTTATTTGAGTATGTTGCTCATCACATAGTTCTAAATTAAATATATATGCATCTCAATCAAGACAATTTTGTTCTTGTTCTTGGATAGCTTAAGTTAGTAGGTCTGATCACAAAACATCCTAGAGCCATAATTTTTGTATCCCAACTTGATTTATCCATTTTTCAATGAATTATTATATATGGGGACAATTTTTTATGTGGGTATTAAATTAAACTGAAGATTATAAATTACTTTTTTTTCCTTGTCTAATTAATTATTAATCTTACCAAAATCTCAAACTTGTGGTTAGAATGTTTAGTTGCACTTCCAAATATGTGGGAGACCATATTTTTTTGATTTAGACATATATATATACATATACCAATTAATTACTTTGGTTAATAATATAAAAGATCACTTATATCATGGGTGGATAATGTTCTTATAATCCATTTTGGTGGTGTAATGAATGACCGAAGATTTGGATCCAAGCATATTGTGTCAAAACAAAACCATGTATGCCTTTTCAAATTGATTTTTTTTTAAATACAAGTAATAGTCTAAATTACTCTAATTCACGAGGGGAATTCGAGCTTGGATGTAAAAAAAAAGGGATCAATATTGCCCTGGTCAACTGACCTAACTCATATGCTTTTCAAATTGATTCTTAAAATGCCATATATATGCCAAAATACTTCTTGGTTGTTTAAAGAAAGCCATTATTTTGAAATGGGTTCCAAAATTTAGTACCCCACTAAGGGTGTATTAAATCATAAAATTGTAGGAGCATATTAGTTTATAGAGAAGCAACTCCTATATATCTACCAATTAAGCAACCAACCAAACCAATCACATCAAACCCCCTAACAAAGTTAGAGCGTTGACATTATCGTAAGCCAATTGCAATTCTAGATTTAAATTCATTTCAAAGAGGCCAAACAAGCAGGTGAACAGATGAGCACCACAGATAATTTCTATTGATTCCAAATCCATCGCCATCTACATCACATGGCAACCTCAGTTTTTGCTCGGCTGTTCAGACCCTAAAATATTCCCAATGCTCAATGCAAATTTCCATTAATTTCAGTTTAATATTAACCAAAAAGTCTCAATTGGCTTTGGATTGGCCTTCAATTCCATCGAGGCCAAGAAACGGTGCAACAATCTCAAGCCACTACGAGTGAAAAGCGGCTTGTGGGAGACTCAGAACATGCAGCATTGTGGCAGATTCGAAGCCCCATAGGTGCCCTTCACATGGAAGATTGGAAGTGATACTAATTTTTTATTTAATTAATTACTTTTTGAAGTGGTCCATATATAGGGTTCTTTATGGATTAGCTTTATAACTAATAACATAATTTTTTATTTGGATTAGATAATGGGGTTTAATTATAGTTTAATAAAAGGGTTCGAGTTGATTAAGATAAGCACCACAATATTTAATTATATTATTTTTGTACTGTCGACAAAGCCAAAGCTAGCTAAGCTAAAGTTCATTTCTTCTACTCTACTCTCTTAAGGGAAGACTATGTCTTTCTTGAAGACTTAACTTTCATTCATATGTATGTTCACCAAATTCAACAAATAAATTGTTTCTTAATTGCTTTTCTTCTGAATTTTTAAGATTGTGTTCAATGATCCCCGTGAACTCAACGCTGCTTTGGACTTGGTTGCACTTCACGTATGAACCCAAGAATCTTGGTCTAGGACCAAGCTACTCTAGCTAGACTATGACACAAACAATTCCTTAAATTGAGTTACTACCCGCAAATATGGGCTTTAGCTTAGTTGGTTAGAGCGGATATGCTTCTCACTTCGCACTCGAGTTAGAATCCCCATTCTCGTAGTTTAAATTAGTTTAAAATAGACAATCACTAAGGATATATGCATCATGGAAGTAAATTTGACACATAAATATATTTGTAACATTAATATCTGCACTT